GTTGTCCTACGAAACAGTAGACTTATTATGCTCTGCAGGGTTGTTCTGACCTTAAACCCTTTGATCTTTAAGAGTGACCAGCGTCTAATTTCTCCCTACAATATCATCCCTGAATCACACATTAAGGTCATGAGAATAAAGGAAATGATCACCAACTAAAGAAGCTCCTGATTTTTAAACAAATTCTCCTTGTCAGCACCTTAGGAAATGTATAGAGAACAGTATGGAGAATATGCATACTGATGTTAGGGTGTAAAGGGTTAAGTCTGCACCTGAAAACCTTGTGTTTGACCATTCATATGAAAGCTACTGAGCGTGGTACTGCTTACTATACAGTCGGTACAGCGTGGCACTAACATCCACGGAAGTGTGGCCTTTCAAATGGACGCTTCATTGTTGAGTTTGAACGATGTTGTGATACTGCAGTACAAGTCTGAATGTATTTTGCAGAAAGCTGAAAGAAGATAAAGAAGAGTTGGAAGAGCAACGGAGGCTTCGACAACAAGAAGAGGAACGTTCACTTGTTACTGTAAGTTGCTTGAAATCTCTGATGTGGAGAGTTCGTCGTTTTTGATAGATTACACAAAAGAAGTTACTATCGTAAGGAGGCAGCTGTTACTGAAGGTTCGACAGTACTGGTTAACAGTTTGAGGCGTTTAACCATTAAAACGGAGTGACTTGGCAAACGACGCGATAACAGTCATAGTAGCGGATGAGTATAAAAGCGGAGGAAGTCTGGGTCGGGTCGTGTTCATAACGCGACCCGACCCAAACTTCCCTCGGCTTTTCATTCTCCGCTTCTATAGCGCTGTCTACTATCGTGTTTCGTTTTACTAAGTGAACGCCTGGAACAGGCTCAGTATTGGTTCACTATATCGTATATGCTTCTTTTATAATTATTATTTTTTAATTAACTGTTGAAGCATGTGCAACTTAAATTCCAGGGTCGGCGTGCCCGTCGTGAAAGACGTTCATTGCGAGAAAGACAGAGAAGGAAAGCACATGACGTGGAACTGTCACCACCCAGGTACTGTGGGTAGATGCACTGCTTTTGCACCAATGCGCACATTTATTCGTGCGAGCACGTCTTCATCCAGACCTTCATCATTCGTGCATGTCCTCGTTCGTTCGTTTGTATCTTGATGTGCTCATGCACTTGCTCGGTTTTTTTCGTGCGTTCGCTCCTTCGTCCTTCTGTTGGTTTACTCGTGTGCTCGCTCCTTTTCCGTGTGTTCGTTGGTCCCCTTGTTTGTTCGCTCTTTCATTCGTGCATTCGTAAGCTAATTCGTTGGTGCGTTCGTGAGCTCGTTCGTTTTTATGTGCTTTTGTTCGTTCGTTGGTTCATTCGTGCAATCACTCGTTTTCTGTGTATTCGTTCGTTCGTTGGTGCGCTCGTGCGTACGCTTTTTTATTTTTCGTGCCGTTGTTCGGTCGCTCGCTTGCTTGGGGGTCAAAGGCCGCTTCTAGTTTTTTTTTTTAAGGTGATATGAATGATTTAACCATTTGTCACAGGCACTATGTTTTTTACACTTCTTTTACAGTTATGCCAGAAAAGCAAGCCCTACATATGAACCATACAGAAGGTTAGTAAAAGTGATCGACTATTCCTTTTCTCTTTTTTTGAAAACCCTGGAAAAAACACAAAACAAAACAAAACAGAAAGAAAAACTTGCGATGCACTTCCATCGTCAAGTTATGAAGCATGACAGTTCTGGTTTTTGTTGTTGTTGTTGTTGTTGTTGGTGTTGTTTTTTACATTCTATTAAAAAAGTAATGAAAGTAGTTGGACTTGTGATAAGCGTTGATCAAAGAAAAAACGTGGAGTGTACTTGAGCAATTGAACCTCAGATCGACAGATTCCCCGCTCCGATGACCTACCATTAAGCCACAGTGAGCCAGGCCAACATTAGGTTCATAATTTGAGTTTAAGTGCATACCAGTGAACTCAAGCAAATTTATAATGTAGTGTGGAAAGTAATCTAGGACTGCTTTGGTTTTGCATTACTTCTTTCTGTGATTGGTCCAGAAAACTCCTATCACATTCGTAACCGATTAGATTCAAAACTGAAACCAATCGCGACCTGGGAGTAACAGAAGGCTCCTACGATGTAAGTTTGACTATTGTTAACTCTTTTCTCTCTTTTTCACTTAGGTCTTCCTCTCGATCATCGTCCAGATCGCCATCACCAGAAAACGCCGGCAAAGTGGAATTTATCACAGAATTCAGCCATTCATCGACCGATCAGCCTTCCACGAAAGCGAGCGGTGATTCACGATCACGTTCATCCTCCTCCCGGTCGGTTTGCCTTACTTTGTTATCCGCTCGCTAGACCAATGCTTCCATCTTAGATTGACTGTAAGAAAATCGAACTGGTTCGTTCCTAGCTGGGTATACTGTGCGTCATTGCTGGGTATACTATTTGTCATTGTTGGGTATACTGTTCGTCATTGCTGGGTATACTGTTTATCATTGTTGGGTATACTGTGGGTATATTTTTGTCCATGGTCCACAAGTAAAGAAATGATCCTCGTGAGGTGAGCTGCGATTTAAAGAATTGCAAAGAAGAAACTTTTTTTAGGCTCCGACAGGATTCGAACTCTTGCCTCTCTGAAACTTTTAAGCGCTTCTACTAACTGAGCTTTGCAGCCACATGTTGTGAGCGACGAAAAGTTTATGTTGACATCGCTATTTTAATTCTTCGCCCCAGTGATTGAAGAATATGTATGGTATAGCATGAAAATTTTGCGAATTTAGTACCGGGTTTGACAAAATCGCCATTGAAATAAGAATCCTGCAGTATGAATCGCCGCAAAAATTTACTGCCTCTGTTTTGATAAAACTCTCCATGGTAGTGGCTTGGGGTTTGGGGTAGGCTGTTAATTTTTGCTTAGTTCCCGGCTAAAATTTCGTTTATCTCAAGCGGCAAAAAATAATAATACTAATAAATCAGTGATCCATAGAATGATATATATATATATATATATACCGGGTTTGACATATATATATATATATATATATATATATGTATATATCAACAGGGTGCGATCATTTTCTTCTCTTACAAGATAACCATAGCAACACTACAGCCTCTTAGTCGCACCCCTAATTTTAAACTTTGTATGCTTGTTACTCGAAAGCGAGTTCGGTGACCCCGTTTTTTTTTTTTGCAATTAAATTGTGAACTGTTAAGATTCATCTTTTTGTAATATTTGTTTAAAGATATGTACATGCGGTTAAGAGCTACCAAAATGTCTTGACAGGTTCAGAGGGGTATTAAGTCAAGGGGGGGAGAAGGGAATAAATGAATCGGTTATTGTTAAAAAGTCCTTTATCTGCCTGTCAGTTCCACCCAGTTAGTTGAGATGACACATTCTACGTGCCTTTGTTTGGAAAATCTAGGGGGATTTTACAAGATACAGGAACTTCTAAAAAAGAATAAAACTATTTCTGTCCAACTATTCTCTTTTTGCTAATTTTTTTTTCTTCTTCTTTCCTGCACCTGCCTTGTGCTTGTGGTTCCTCTGTGATTGCCCAATCCCTCGCCTTGTCAACACGTACTCTTCAAACACCAAATTCGGTATGTAAAAATGTAAATTTATAACGGTCCGTTAATTTTGCAACTATTTCTTCGTGTTATGCGATTTCTTTTGTGTGCGTAATTGTGCTGTGTTGTGAAAATTAAAACCATTAGTACTTCTGAACGAAAGAAATCGAAGGAGCGTGACAGGTTGCAGTCACACAAGAAACAGAGAAGTAGAACACGCTCACGGTCACGCGACCGCGATCGACGGCGTTATCATGGCAGATCGCGAGACAGATCCCGCGAGAAAAGTAGGTCACGCGAGAGAAGTCGCTCACGTGACAGAAGCCGGTCACGTGACAGAGACCGTCACGGTACTCGTGGGCGTGAAAAGCATAGACACCAGAGTCGCAGCAGAAGCCGCAGTCATGAACATGACCGTGATCGGCGAGAGCGTGACAATGACCGTGACAACAAGGAACGAAAGAAGCAGCCGTCCAAGGGATTGGGGTGAGTTAGTTTAGCGATGCTTTAATTTTGTTTCTACTAGCTGTCAAAATTTCTCCGCTAGCTAAAAATCGAACAATTTCAACCGAGTATAGAGAATAATCCTGGATTACGTTGGATTTTCTTACCTTCCTCTCTGATTGGCCCTAGAAACTCCCACCACTTTCTCAACCAATCAAATTCAAGACAAGTTCTCTTCAGCTCCTTGTGATATCTCCCCTCGTTCTGAAAGGCCGTCAGGGAATGAATTTGGTTTTGGTTTTATGAAAAGCACTCTATATAGAAATGACAAATCCAGGGAAAAGGAACAACGGCCGACTGAACCAGTTTGCCGAGTTCATATCTATCTTTTTTTCTCTTAATTAAAAAAAAGGGTCAAAATTAACTCTTTTAGTCAAGAATCCGATGCAGATTGCAAAGACTTTATTTGGCTTCGCCAGAAAGAAAACAACTATACGTGACCAAATTAAAGATAGGGACTCTAAACTTTTTAAGAACGTAATCAGTGATGATCATAAACTTCATAATTTGCTACCTCCAAAGAAGAAACGTGTGCTTCGTGAGCACAAGCATGACTTTATATTACCTAGAGTTAAAACCGAATGCTTCAAGAATTGTTTCCTTAATAGATGCCCCTTCAATTAAATTCACTGTATATAAGGAACTTCATAATGTTCCAATGTTACAATTTTTTGTATACTCTGAATTCTACTTTTAATTTTCTTATTAACATATTGTGAAGTTACACGTTTGTTTTTTCTGATTTATTAAAGACAGATTATCATTATTATAATCGTCGTCATGTTCTTGTCACACGTAGGTTGTTGAAAACCAAAGCAACACCTTCCTCAGGCAGCAAAGAAAAGGTAAACTGTAAAGTTGTCGACCTTTTTATTTTCTAGATCTGAACAACTGTTGTTCTTATTGAGACCATACGATTCTTTCATCGCTTGTAAGAAGAATTTGTTTTGCTATCGAGAATTAACTAATCGATCTACGAGTCAAAGGGCTTTCTTTCAGATGTTTGGTTTTTGTTTCATAATTTTCGTTTGTTTGCAGTTAAGTGCTCAGGAAAAGATGAAAAAACGAATGCAAATGATGCTCAACAAGCAACGTAAGACTCTAAATCGCTGCTGTTTGTGGTTACTGCCTATAAAAATAAGTATTTTTTTATTTGGCTTGTCGCAATGAACAATCTATGCGAGAAAACGTGCAAGCTATTACAAGGCCGATGAAAAGCGCAATGAATTTTCAACTGGTGCAAAGCGCGGGAAATAATTTTATCGCAAGGCGCAGGAAATTTTGCGCGGATTCACCTCATGCACCCTATGTCACGTCAATCAAATTTTGTAATTGGTGGGAGGCGCGGGAAATTGTTTATTTGCAAAACGTGGGAAAATTTTGCAACCGGTGCAAAGAGCGGAAAATTGCGCGATAACAAAGCGCGCCGGGGAAAGTTTGTAATTATGAAAAAATTATGTAATTGGAAAGCAGAGGGAATTTAGTAACTGATGAGAAGCACAGGAAACTATGCAATTTGTTCCAAGCGGGAAAAATAAAGCAATTGTGTTAGAGCTTGAGAAAATCCAGCTGTTTTAACGTCTTAATTTACCATTAGTATACGAGGTTTTAACCAATCACATCACTCCAGCTGGGTGTAAGACGAAAACAAATTTGAATTTTGAAAATATTTTGTTTGTTTTTGTTAATTGTAGTGAAATCTGACAGAAAAGAAGATAGACGAAAACGAGAAGTCAAAGAACAAGAAAGACGGGTAAAAATTTGCTTTTGTTGTATTATCGCTTGTCAAAAGTAGTCGGACTTGTCACAGGAAAAAATGCAGCCAATCATTTATATATTTATTCCTCCCGAAACTTGTTCAGTATTTTTTTAGATAACAGTGAAAGAAATGGAACATCTTATCCCTTCGAGGATCTATAAAATGAGTTTGTGTTAGTTTTTAGTCATTGCGGAAGTACTGCACCGCATTGCAAGAAATGCTTAGCTTTGTAAGCTGTTAATACCAGTCCTTGTAGCTTAAAGTACTTCTACTCGAAAGGAATGCGAGTTTTTTAATTAGGTGTTTAGAAGGGAAGATGTTTTTCGTCCTCCTACGAGCATGGGACAAGGTAAAGATTCTGAGTCCTCAAGAGGAATTGAACTTCAGACCTTCAGATTCCTAGCTCCAATGCTCTACCACTGAGTCACCAGAGACTCTACGCTGAGCAAGGCCAGGGGTTCATTTGTGACATGCGTCCTGCATACTGCGAGGATCAGCTATGTTCAAAGCGTCATGCGCGTAAATTGCAAATTTTTCTGTTTATGTTTTTTTCTTTCTTTTTCTGTTTTGTCCTAAGCTTGTGTCAAGACGAAAAAAATCATTCTAATTCATTACTGAGTTAAAAATTTACCCATTCCTCAAATACTATTTTACACATTGTTTGTTTGTTACCTTATGTGGTGTGAATCACGAGAATTTCTGATTAGTTCACGAATGGCGCGCAGTAATAAAAAAAGAAAACTTTTGAGGATAGGAATAATTAAGATTTATGATGACTGAAATAACTTTTCTTTTCGTTTCAGGAACGCGAGGATGACCTTCGCGAGATGCAGCGGAAATGGCGTGAACGGTAAGAGCACACGATGTCGTTGAAAAAAAAAACATGGATCCTGTTTTGACCTTTTCAATCCGACCTAATTTCATCTGCCTTGGTTGTAAAGTATTTAAATGATTCCGCACGCCGGATTGTGTGATATGACTTGGACAAAAGAGAAGCTTGCTTAATCTGTCGACTTGAACCATTATGTTGTTTATGTTTTCGTGTTTTTGTTTGTTTCGCAGGGATAGAGACAGATATGACACAAGTCGGTCGCCTTCCCCTAGAGGTAAAAAGAATGTTAAAATGTGTCGAGTATGGCGAACAGTACTTCCTGAAAATACTGTTCAGTAACTTCCATTTTAATGGCTCACACTTGGGTTTCATCTAAAAATGAAAGTTTGAACCAACTTGTACAGCACAATAAACAGAACCATTTGAAAGTGCTTAGTAATTTCTTTTTGAGTGGTGATACATGAGCCCTTCGCCCACGTTATAAGTTATGTAATTTACAACTGGAACCACATCGCACAACTTAATGAATTGTATCACAATTTATTGACTGACTTAACTGGAAATTTTCAGTACACAGTGCATTACCTTGTGACTTCACTTCGTATTCTATTCACAGGAAGGCGAAGAAGTGTATCTAGGTCTCCACCGCGGAGGTAAGACTTCTTTTTGTTTTATATTTTTTTCTTCTGATTTCAATTGAGTGTCGCAAAACCAAACCCAAACTAATAGCAACGACCAATTAAAACCAAGGCAAATTACCCAAGGAATCAATGAGAATCAATCAACTTCAAACAACCAATCCCCGCAAACCGCGGGAAAACGCGTGTTACAAAGTCGTATTTGATTTTGCCTTCTGTTCTGATTGATTGGGCAGAGTAAAGCCAAAACAATTTCAGGTTATGTTGATCACCCATTTGAAGAATTTTTCTATTATCCAGCTCCTGGGTGGCGCTATTTCTTTTTGCAATTAAATCAAATTAGCCACAAAGGGTGACTGTTTTCTCCTACTCTGTTAATAATATTGACGTTCTGATCAGTTTCCGGTAGAGAGTTGCTTTACTACGCTCTGTAATTGGTCCAGAAAACTCGCGCCAACTTCTCAACCAATCAGATGCAAAACTAACACCGATGGTGACTTGGCCATTTGCGTTTTCCCACGCTTTTACCTGTTTTGACTTCGATTTCCTGTTTTCTGATTGGCTGTTGTGATCATAGTTTCCGTCTCTTATGACCAGATCCAAAAGTCCTCTGCCATGAAATAGACTTGTGTTTGGTATCTGATCTTTGCCACTCTTTGAACTTGTTTCAGAAGACACAGAAGTAGGTCCCGATCACGATCGCCAGTTGAACCCCAGACAAGTAAGTTTTATGGAGAAATGTGTCACCGTTCATGATTCTTGAAGAATTGGGCCCCATTATTTTCAAGTTCGACATCCATCCTGTGTCATCCTTGCTCAATTAAGTTTGATTATTGTCTCTTTGGTGTTTTTCTATCTTACCAATTAATTCTTTTGTGGTCATTTACAATCCGGTCCAATCTCCTCCATTTTTAGCCATCCTTATACCATCTTGGTTTATTATTGCTTCTCCTGTGTTTTTCAATCTTACCAAACTAGTATTTTGTAGTCATTAACAATCCGGTCCAATCTTCTCCATTTTCAGCCATCCTTGTACCTTCTTGGTGAATCATTGCTTCTCTTGTGTTTTTCTATCTTACCAAACTTATTCGTGCGTACATAATTTTTATTTAGTAGTGGTTGACAATCCTCTTCTTCGCATTTAACCATTCCTGTTTCCTGCCTAAAGGTCACTTGTTGGCACGCATGCATCTTGCGGTGTGGACGAAATAGAATTTGTCTGCTCTAGAAAGGCGTCTTATGTCCGTCAGATATCGTTGATCAATTTGTTGTTTTTAGTCCCTGTTGTAGACATCGATGCACATGCTTTGGGAGAGGAGGTTGTCGAGTACGTCTACCCTGTAAAAGACCCCAAATGATGCATACCTCACCACTACTTTCTTGGATTAAAAAAACAGCCTCTTTGTCATAAAGTGAAGCCATTGGAAGCTGAGATCTTAAGAAGAAATTGAAGTCGAATTCAGAGGAAATTTCAGTGAACGAAGATGTTGTCGGACACAGTAATATAACATCTTCAGGGATGTGGAAACCAAGTTTAAAATAGCACAGAGCGTGAAAGTTTTGAAGTCGTCCAACTCTGTGAACTGGTTAGGTGTTATAACTAAACTACGCAGCCAATATCCATTTAGAGTGTGGTTATTTAATACCTTGAGATTCCCGCTGATCCTAATTTGAGCCCGGAGATCTGTGAACATTAAGTGCGACATCATTGGAAATGACCGTTTCCTTAAATATTTTTTTATGCCTTTCTTTGAATCATCTTCTTTGTTATCTTCTCATACATTTACCCTTTAATCGAGAATTCCATTTCTTCCAGTGGGTGAAAGGAACGCTGTGCAAAATGAGGAAAAGGCCTTTTTTTCATTGTAGAATTAACCTCAGTGCGATGTTGCATTGCTTTTCGGGGTCAAATAAAATAATGAAAAAAGAAGCGTTATGATTGTAGCCACCAATTGCGAAGTCTCACGGTTAAGCACTTTTAAAACCTTCCCACTGACTGTGACAAAAATGACAGATAGACTGATATCATGATTCTTCTTCTTTGTTTGAACATTGTGATAGAGAACGAAATGCCAGTTTTGTTTTTAATCTTTATTGGCCCCCCGAAGGATTATACCTGAAACAGATTCTCTCTTGACTTGAATGGTATCTCTCTCAAAAAATATGCTCGGTTACATAGTTATTTGCGACTGAAGAAATTTGCGTTTTACTCCCTCTCCTCATATCACCTCGGTGTGGTGCTCGAAGGCGCCTCGGATCTTAGGGTCACGTGAGTCAACCGATTATGCGATCAAGCGGAAAAGCACTGGATACAAGTTCTTTCAAAAGGTCTGACTTTTTCCTTTCCCTGTTTTTTTTCGTGGTTACATTTTAACCAATTTTATTTTTTCACAACACGTCACTCGATAACACCAACAAGATACCATCTGCCGGACCAAAGGGTACTAACTACCGAGCCGAACGAAGAAGGCAATTTTAGATCAAGGAAACTAGGTACGAGTTAAACGGCTGTAAATCAGCCTTTTAAATAACTGAAAATGTTTAAGAACGAACTCAAAATCGAGGTCAGTTTTTTTCATTCGAAAGTTGTTCAGAAGTTTTGTTTAAGAATGAGACCGTTGATTCTTCAACAAATCCTTACATATATGTGAACTGCATACGGAAACATCCTCGCGGTTATGAACAAAATTGCACCAGTGTCGCAGAGGTCATGGGTTCAAATCCCGCACAAGCCTGAATTTGTTTTCAGGCCTTATTTTTACTTTTGCTTAAGTTGTGTTCATAACTACGAGGGTCGCTTCCACATTAAATCCTTACATTTTTAAGACATTTCAGAACTGTACATCGGCAGTCGTCACCAGAGTCTCTCTCCTTCGACCAAATAATGGTGTTTCATGCAATCTAACACAACGAATCAATAACTTTCTGTAAATATATGAACATCATATATGTGCACTGCGGTTGAAGAAACGAATATAGGAGCGATCCTCCCACCTATGAACACTACTGAACTAAAGTTGAAATAAGGCCTGAAAAGAAACTCATGCCCGCTCGGGATTTGAACCCATGACCTCTACGATACAGATGCAGCGCTCTACCAACTGAACTAAGAAGCCAACTGGGAGGTGATCGTTATGTTGGATCCAAGTAAACCTTCCAAGTGATGAAAAATGGCTGTAAATATATAAAAATGTGTACTGGCGTACGGGCCTGAATTTTTTTCAGGCATTTTTTCAACAACTAGTTCAATAGTGTTAATGGCTGCAAGGATCGCTTCTATATTCGAACTAGACCCTGCGAGCAAGGTAACTGGGATACCTGGATGGTACTTGATCCTTGGAATCAAGTGTAGTGATACTACGGGTGTCAGACTAGTATACTGAAATAGTGCGCTCAAGTCTGGCCAAGGGCATTCACCTATTTCAAAACATAGGCATGCTATGCATGCAAGAGTTACTTTTTTGTAGGGTGGGTGGATTACTTGAAACATTGTGAGTGATGTCTACATTCTTACAAAAGGAGAGAAGAATATTTATGTGGGAAAGAACGAAAATGTCGAATTACCTCACCCACAGGTATTTTGTGGTAGATTATGTGTGTTTTGCGAATAAATGTAAGTAAAAATAAACTGTATTGGTGCCACGGATACCTGTTAGTACAAAATGCAGACAGC